GCATACATATATAAGTATTTATACATACATATCCTGACCCTAGTCTCGGCGTCTATTCCCTGCAGGTGCGAGGGTAATGTTGAGCTGGGGTCCATCATGGTGATGGAGTACATGGACTACGGCTCGCTCCACGAAGAGCTTAAATGGGCCGCCTCTGTGGCCAGAAGCGATACCACGGGCAGTCTGAGTCCGTACACCGATGCCGAGTTCCTGTGGTTTGTGCATCAGGCGTGTTTGGGACTCGAGCATCTGGCCGAGAACGGCATTGTCCACCGAGATATAGCCGCGCGCAACACACTACTGGGGAGCTTTGATAAGGATCTAAGCGGTGGGTATTTGGGGGTTGGGTTGTGCTGAGTTGAACGCGTATGTGTCGATTAAGTAGGAGTTGTGGTTGCGTGTGTGTGTTTCTGTTTGGATCTCCATCTGTCTGTAAGCGTGTGTATGCTGGAGCAGCCAATGGGTGTATCTACCTAAACCAACATTCAAATTCCAAAATTTATTCATATTCCCATTCCTAAATATATTGATGTTTCAGCATATGTACAATGTGAAGCTTCCTAATATGAGCCTATGCGTCCCCTACACACCGCCATAGCCTACCTGTACTCACATTCCCATTCCCATTTCCATTCCCATTTCCATTCCCATTCCCATTCCCATTTCCATTCCCATTCCCATTCCCATTCCCATTCCCATTTCCATTCCCATTCCCATTCCCATTTCCATTCCCATTCCCATTCCCATTTCCATTCCCATACCCATACCCATTCCTATTTATATTTATTTTTCAATTCCTACAGCCTTCCGCACGCTGAATATGCACGATGTCAAAATCGCTGATTTAGGTCTGTCGCGTCGCCTAGACACCGCCATGACCTATCAGCATCAACACGCACGGGCCATGCCCATGCGTACCATGGCACCCGAGTCACTGAGCAGGAACAATCCCGAGCACACGGAGAAGTCGGATGTGTACATGTTTGGGTGCTTTGTCTGGGAAGTGGTATGTCGATGTTCGGTACATGGGATAGCCGAGCCAGAGCCTATCTGGCTGCTGGGCCTGGATTGGTGATGGGCTGATAGATGCGCCGCAAGTACTTCCCCCTGTTTATACTATATACAACATTATGGGAAACCCCTGTATATACCTACCACTCGTATATTTACCTACGATTCGTGTATTTACCTACGACTCGTGTATTTACCTACCACTATTGTATTTACCTACCACTCGTGTATTTACCTACCACTCGTGTATTTACCTACCACTCGTGCATTTACCTACCACTCGTGTATTTACCTACCACTCGTGTATTTACCTACCACTCGTGTATTACCTACCACTCGTGTATGTACCTACCACTCATACGATTTGAAATCCGCCATTTTTTCGGAACATACGAATGGATTCTTGTCTGTCCATCCACCGACCACCCAATTCGGGATACGTGCCTCTACCGTTTCAGTACTATTCAAACACCCGTCTCATTATCTACCCTACCCCCTTGACACACACGTACACATACACCGTTACAGTACTCTCTGGGCAAGCTGCCGTACGCCCACCTGGTGGCCTCAGAGAACATGCAGGGCTACATGCTGCGGGAGAAGCTCTCGGGGATGTTCCTACTGCAACCGGAGACTATGCCGGATGCCGTGTATGATATCTGCATGGACTGTTGGGACCCGGACCCGTCTGAACGACCTACCTTCCGGAGACTGCAGGTGATGCTCAGAGATCTGTTCAGCGAGTTCAGGAGTGTGAGTGTCTCGGATTTTGCGAGCATGAATGTGCGCCAAGATGCCTCTAATTCGGGCTCAGACCTGTCCAGCAAACCTTCGGGGTTCAAATCGCGGCTTGGCAAGCTTGGTATGGGGTTGGGATTAGGGGCTGTGGAGCGGAGCGGCAATTTGGTCGGCGGAGTCAAGTCCAAGTGGAAGGAGTGGAATACGACTGGGCAGAGTAGCAGCACCTTGAGTGCGCACAGCAGCCTCGGCCTGGAGTCCAGCCTCAGTACCAGTAGCAATCTCGCTATCCTGGGGAATGACTTGACAAGCAAGGCTGAGATTAGTCCTACAGATAACATGATCTATTGCGGGATGCGGTCGGCGGGTAGTAGTGAATACAGCAACAGCATGTTGACGTCGACGCTGGATATGACCGAGGGGGGGGGGAGCGGGTATGGAAAGTACCGAACTGTCTAATAACAAGGATTCGCAAGCGCTGCATCCACAGTTACCACCGGCCACGCCCAAGGCAATAGCACAGTCACAGCCACAGGTACAACCACCGCCGGCGCGGGGCATGTCCGCAGCCACCACCAGTCGATACGCCGCAGATACCCTCACGCGCTTGCGGAAAGCGAGTTACAGTAGCACGCAGACGCACACGCCCCCCCCACCGAGGAAAGCCTCGCTTCTAAGCCACATCTTCGCCGCTGGGTCTGTAGTCAGGGCGCCCCACACTCAAACGCGCAGTAGTACCGGCAGTGCCCTCAAGTTCACTGTGTGCAACAAGGCGCTTACCGCAGGCACAACGAGTGCATTGAATGGCCGGACTGTGAGCTCGGTCGTCCCTGAAACCCCGTCAGACGCTTCATATGACCAACTGCATGCTGTGTATGACGACGGGAAAGAGCGGAGATACACTATGCTGAACACCCCCACGCAGATAGCCGACGAGAAAGAGGCTCAGCGGAGACATACAGTGACAGAGGGTTCTGGTCACAGCGGGCTTGCGTGTGAAGGCGACAGCGCTAGCTCTGCAGATACTTTACAAAGCGCCCACACCAGCGAACTTACTGGGACGAATAGCGGGATGCATACCGGGATGCGTGCTGTGGTGGATTCTGGGAGGGAGCCAGGTACGAGGGCGGATGGAAAGGCGACTCACTACGCAGGTGATGAGATGATGGTGAAGAGTACTGGGTATGACGGATGCGTTGGTAGTATGAACAGCACAGGAGACTGTGCAGATGTAACTAACACATATGCCCCAGTGCACAGTAGCAGGGACAGTTGCCCATGGCATAGTGAGCGAGAGCCCAACGCGTTCGGGTTGAAACGAGCGGATCAATCCATGGAGATATACTCGAATACGAGTGATGAAAGTACAACCGATTTCAGCAGCAGGACAGGGAACAAGGGCCGGAGGTGGCAGATTGTCGCAAACGCTAATGTCGCAAATGTCGCAAATGTCGACAAGATGAATATACAAGGTAGAAAATATAGACATAATACGCCGAGCACTACGAACAGTAGCGGTGAACTAGAGGTTGGCGAGGGGCAGAGACAGCATGTCAGCAGAACAAACAGCGATAGAGGGTATGCAAAAGATACGGAGGATGCCAAAGCAAATTATAGTAACAGTGGGTCAGGCTTACATTTTATAGGTCGACAAGGATCGAGAAGAGGCAGTGTTGATGCTAAAGAGAATATCGAGGGCTGTGGATATAGATGGCATGATGCGATACGCTCCCTGATGGGGAGCTATCAAGGTCACTAATGCTGACGGGAAAATAGTATGCCAGCTGATGGGAAAATAATACACCAATGATGATAGAATAGCATACCCACTGAGGGAAAATAATCTCACTAATGAGAAAATAGTATACTCACTGATAAAATATTACACTCACTGATGGGAAAATAGTATACCGACTGATGGGGATAATATACGCCGATGAGAAAATGGTCCGATTACTGATGGGAATATAATTCACTCCCTAATGAGAAAATAGTATGCCCACTGATGGACAATAAATACTCACGATGGGAAAATAATATACCGACTGGTGAGGAAATAATACACGCTGATGAGAAAATATTCTTTTTGCTGGTGGGAAAATAGTACACTCGCTGATGGAAAATATTCACGCGCTAATGGAAAATAAACACTCACGATGGGAAAATAATATACCAACTGGTGAGGAAATACTACACTGATGAGAAAATATTACGCCTACTGATGGGAATCTAATACTCTGATGAGACAATAGTACGCTTACTGATGAGAAAGCGATTTGAACCCTGATGAGGAAGTAACTAGAAACTTTGTCGTCGCGAGAACGAATACCAGTAGTGAATCAAGACGTGATCTGAATAATCAATTAACATGTGCGTGGCTGTATTGTTGGTCTATATTGTTCAGATGTGAACGGTTGTTCTCGGTTCTCGAGATACGATAATTCATATTCTAGAGCCTAGGTAGTATTAGAGTGAGAGAACCAATACATATTGAACAACCATCACAGGCTATGAGAGATACCTCTTGGGGCAGGTTTAACGATTATCCGATACTTCTACGAACTCTACAATTTCTACGATTCTACAACTACATTCTACGACTTCTGCGATAATTCATCATTTTATGGATACTCATAGTTAGACCATGAAGCTACCAATACGCAATGGACTATCGACAATTTTGCGGCTGAATGATGAACCGATTTATTTCTGTTAGTTTCGAGACCTCTAAACAAATATATATCTATATATACATA